TTTCTTAGATTTATGACCATTCTCTATATGATTGATAATTTTCATTTAAGATGTCAAGAAGATATATTAATATTATATAGCTTTATTGAAGGCTTCCACTCTCTAATTTCTTTTGAAAATAAAGCGCACTACATTAATTCGAGTAATAACATTAAGGTTTAATATTATATTATTAAGAATAGAATTATTAATCTATTTAAAAATCTTAATAAGAAACTAAGATTAACATAATATACTAGTAAAGATCTAGAAATTAAAATAGCTTTAAATTGATTCTAAATTAACATAGAAATAGGAAACTTATCGTACAATAAATATTATCTATATTGATATAACTATTATAATTCCAAAACATTAGTATATTTTTATTTATATTTTTATCTATATTTAATCTATATTTAGGATCTATATTTAGGATCTATATTTAGGATCTATATTTAGGATCTATTACTTTGAATCTAGGCTTTATGAGCTTAGCTTAAATAGATAATATAAATAATATATCGTGTCTAAATACACAGAAATTAAGATATTCTATTATTTTCAAGAAATAATACTTTCAAGAGAGAAACAAATCAATATTTTTGCTATAGAATGATAAGAGATATAACAAAAAGAAACAAAGATTATTTCTTATCTTTTTATCTCTATCCTATAGGATATTTCTAATAGAACAAGAGATAGTCTAGCTTTATTATCAACAAATATTGATCTATCCTCTTTATTCAATAGATATTAGAATAGTTACTCTATATTGTATTTTTATAAATTTTTCTATTATAAAGCTAATAAGTAATAACTCTCTATATATACTCGTTTTAGTTTTTTCTTTTATCTAACTTTCAAAGTATCTTTTATAGTTATAAAATTCTTTTCTTTTCTTACTAACTTCTATAGTATTCTATATATCTTTTTTCTAATCACAAGATTTGGTCTAATCCTTATAATTTAATTTCATATCTCTCTATATAGTAATAGGATTTAATAATATTAGTTATACTGATTATAGATAATTATAATAGTAATTATATAATATAATAATAAGTTTCTTACCTGTAAGAACTTATATCTAAGAATAAATTTATAATTAAGAAGATCTAGGATTTGGATCTTTATCTAACTAATATAATCTTATATCTATATGGATCATGATGTATTTCTAAATATTGAGGATCTTCATCATATCTAATAGTATAATATGTAATATTCTTCAATAGATCTTGATATCTCGTTTTCTATCTATTCTTTTTAAATTTTAGAGATGTAAAAATATATATAAGATCTTACTATCACTAAGACTTATATAAACTCTTATTTCTATCTTTTCTATCTTAATCTTAGTATTAAAATATATAAACAGGCTATTTACAAAAGTTAGGGACTCTTGTCTATAAATAGTTTAGTAATTATAGATGAATTTAGTCTTACGATTATTAATAATATTAATTCATTCTTATTATAGTTTTCAGGATTAAGAGAGTTCTTCTTTATCTATAAAAGGATTTAAGAAGTCTTCTTTAAATAATTGATAAGATCTTACATTAACTATTGTAATCTTTTATTACATACTATTATAGAACATTTTAAGAAGATTTTGGAGGGTTATCATAATAACTATTTTTAAAGGATAGATTATTAACATATGAGCTATCTATATATTATAAAGTTTTTAAGAGTAGTCTTTAATGAGTGCTTGAGTTCTAATTGATAGAGGAAGAGAATACTAGAAAATATAGATTATAGTATAATAGATTATATCATAATTACTATATTTAGGATAATCATAACATCATCATTTAATTTTATACATTTTGAAACTATAATATATATATATGTCTATTTTTTTATTATTCATTCTTTATCTTACTGTTTTTCTTATTCTTACTTTTATTAATAATATCTAACATAGCTTAATTCTTATATATCTACTCTTTATTTATTTATAATAATTATATGATAGCTAATAACCCTTTTTACTCTTTAATATCTACAGAAGCTAATAGTCTTTCAATACTACCTTAGGCTCGATTTTTTTATAGTCTTTTTATCTCTAATTCCTTTTTTATTTTAGTATTATATTAATTTATAAAAGTTCTATCATCTTAAAGAAAAATCAAGAGACTTATAGCTGATAAGTAGCCCTCTATTTTATTATTAGTATAAATTAGGGGGGTTAAAATACTCTATCTATATTATATGTATATATAGCTAGCTATACTCTTTCTATAAATTAGCTTTAGCTACTCTATATAGTATATAGAGAGATTATATTAGGTAAAGATAGTTAAACGTAAGATTAAATAAGAATTTAAATCTATATAGTGGTAGGCTCTTTACTGTATTACTAGTATCTTCTATATAATATCCTAAGTAGTACTATAGTATTATATAATACTAACTAGTTATAGTAAGTATCGTTTATTATAGGCTAGGCGTATTAAGATAATACTTGATCTAAGAGACTTAATTTATAACTATACTATTACTACTTAATATTAGGCTTTATATAGACTTAGATCTATAGGATAGACTTAGTAGGATATATTAGGTAGTCTCACTTAGTTAAGCTATACTTAGGATCTAGGGTAAATACTAGGCTGTGCCGTAACCCGCAGAAACCCGCACCCGAACCCGCCCCATCCTCCCTATGGGTCGGGTTTTGGGTCGGTCTGTCTAACCCGCATGCGGGTTGCGGGTTCTGATGGGAAACCCGCGCGGGTTTATGGGTTACCCAATGGGTCGTCAAACAGGACAAACATAGAAATTTATGTATAAAACTGTACATTAAAGTGGTTTATTACATAAAAAATTGGATTTATCCATCCTTTTTAGGTATAGTGTCAAAAATTATGCAAAGATGGGCTAGCGTGGGTAACCCGCACCCGAACCCGCAACCCGCATGGGGCGGGTTGCGGGTTGACTTGACCAACCCATGGGTTTTGCGGGTTCGGGTTGCGGGTTGACTTTACCTACCCATTTACGGGTTATGGCACAGACTAGTAAATACTCTAGATCTAAATTTCTCTCTTCTGATTAAAGTATAATTTATATAAAATAGATAGGTAGATAAACTCGTAGATTCTAAATATTCATATAAGATTAAATATAAAGAACTAAATATATATAGTAATAACTACCTTTATATATTATAGTCCTTCCTATGATCCATCCTAAGTAGGCCTAGGTCCTATCTTTAATAGGATCTAGTCCTATACCCTATAGGATAGATACTAATATAACTATCCGCTTAGATTATATAAATATATTAACATCTACATATAGTTGTTTCTATAGCTAAATTAAGTTAATTAGCTCTTATTTCCCTACGATCCCTATTTAGCGTATAGCTAACGTCTAGGTCTATAAAAGCTACTAGCTTAATCTCTATATCTTGCATTATGATAGAGCCTGTAAGAGTAGACTTCCGCAAAGCCCAACTTGGGCCTAAGAACTCGGCCCAAAGCCCAACCCAGGCTGGGTCCGGGCCGAACTTCTCCAACCCGGACCCAACCCGGACCCAACGCTGGGCCCCCAGTAAAACCCAACCAGGCCCAACTTAGCCCAACTTTTGCATAATTCTTGTCATAACTCTGCTCAGTCATCAAGATAATATACCGTTCTTTACACATGTCTGGTCTATACAACGTAGCACTATGCCTTCTTTTCATAAATCATTTGAAATTTTAAGAAATAGACTTGTATTCATAAGGAGTTGATTTAGCATATACTAAATTACCATAGAGCTATATGAAAGTTCTATTATTCTAGGCGCGGTCTGTTAATCATGAGATTTCTGCCTTGAATTAATAATGAAGTGATAAAGATATATATTTATAACAGAAGGTACCTAATGCATCTTTTGAGAGTAAAGAAAATTTTTATCGAATTGCACTAATTTAACAGAATATAGAGAACAATATATATAAAAGTGATTTATTTTATTCATCTAATTAGATTAGTTTACTCAGAAATCAGCTAGAAGAAGACTATAGAGTAGGAAGGCCACTGGAAGATTGAAGTTTTTCTTCTTGGCGCGATGGGTTGAAATTTTTTGACGATCTTAAACATAAGTTGGGCTGGGAATTGGGTTATTATTGGGTTTTTTGGGCTTTTACTGGGTTTTGGCTGGGCTTTCTGGGTTATTACTGGGCTTTCTGGGTTATTGTTGGGCTTTCTGGGTTATCTCTACATCATATGTAACTCTCTAGCCAATCAAACCTAATTCTTCTTATTACCCCCTTATCATGATTGATGTATCATGTTTATTTAACTTATTCCCTACTACCTAAAGATACTATTACTTAGTAGGTGTCTCTTTAATCAATCCTCCCTTACATTCAATATTGATCATAGAGCTAATTCATCATGTCATAAAGTCAGTACTCTAACTTCGCATCCTCAATTTATGACGGCGAGATAGATAATCTTAGCTATCTTACAACACCAAACCCCCCAGCCACTCCATCTAGTAGTCAATACACGCTTGATGCCTCCGAACAAGACTTTCTCCGACCTCTCCGACCGGTAGTTCCTTCCTCTTTTACGCGCGTTGGACCCGACCGAAGGAAAGCCTTTGTTCTCTATGAAAGAATGGCCCATAGTGAATGGGTGGACTGGTGGTTACAGACTGATTATAGGAGAAAAAGTAAGATCAACTGGGACTTAACCCGACATGCGGAGATTTGGAGCCAGTTCCACCAAGTTACCCATAATATAGATGGTGCGCCAAAGGTAATGTGTCAACGCTGTGATGCTATCCTTGAGCATCTATACACAGTTAATCCAAAGGCAAAGGGTAAGGCGCAATACCATAGCACATCGACAATACAAAGACATCTTAAGACAGCAGGGTGTTTAAAGGCCGGGTAAGGGAAGGGGAATGAGATCACTAAATTTCTAAAGAATAGGGTATGTTCGATCATTTCTTTGATCCTATCTTCGGCCAAAGTCAGTGTCTAATATCTTAACTAATATATTTTGGGGAATACTAGAGACTACCGATGGATGATAATACGCCCTTTTCACAAGAATCATGGGAAGAAGACCTCCTCCAATTTTTAACACTTAATCGACTCCCACTTCACCTTATTGAGCATCCCTCGCTCCGGCGTCTGATTTCTCGGGCTCGCTGCGCCCCAAGCCTACCAATAATCCCCTCTGCCGATACAATCCGCCGCCGATTAACAAGCATTGTTAAAGACCGGCAAGAAGGCATACTTCGGAGATTACCAGTTGGCTCAAAGATATCAATTGCGCTTGATTGTTGGACGTCTCCCTATTCGCAGTCGTTTATGGCAATCACAGGCTATTTTATTGATGCTGATTGGAGGTACCATGAGGTACTTCTTGGCTTTAAGCCAGTTTATGGTTCGCATACAGGTGCGAATCTAAGTGGTGTGCTCCTTCAAACTCTTATGGAGCATAATATTAAAGGCCGAGTGTTTGGAATCACCACGGATAACGCATCGAATAATAAGACTTTGGTTACTTCTCTCCAGCAGGCTCTCGCAGATGATGTGATTCTTCCTCGAATTCCATGCCTTGCTCACGTTATCCAGCTCAGTCTCCAGCAGCTTCTTGGCCGTATCAAGGCAAATCCATTAAATGAGTCAGCCGAGACAAAGTGGACAGAGAAGCAGTCAAGACTGGCAAAGCTTAACGCGCAGCACCAAGTACGTGAGATTTCCTATACCTTGAATAAGGTCCGCTTTCTCGCTATCTACGTCAATGCGAGTCCTCAGCGCCGGGAAATATTCTATAATCTCCAGACAACAGACGTGAAGCTAGTGCCTATCCAAGATGTGAAAACTCGATGGAATTCAACCTTCTTGATGCTTCGCCGGGCAAAGCGTCTACGTGATATCTTTGCCCCATTCTATACGGAGTACGACTGCGAGGAGATGCTACTAAATGACGAAGAGTGGCGCCAAGTTGACTATCTTCTTTGCATTACTGAGCCTTTCTTTGATTATACAACTCAACTGTCAAAGACTCGTGATGTCACAGCGCATTATATCTTCAAGATTTATAATAAGCTCTTTGAACACCTTGAACAGTCAATGAAACAGCTACGACGAAAGCGCGTTCCATGGAAGCAAGAGATGCTCCACGCGCTAGAAGCTGGTCGGGTTAAGCTTGATGAATATTACTCTCAAACTGGTGGTATTCAAGGACATCTCTACGCTATCAGCACAATGCTTGCGCCTGTGAACAAGTTTAAATTCTTCCTAACAAACGATTGGGATCAGGAATGGCGCGATACGTATCGCAACTCCTTCCAACAGGCACTTATTCCATACCAAGAGCAACTCTCAACGCTTAGCCAGTCCTTAGATAGAACCCGCCCGGTTGTTCAATTAAGCTCAAAGCTTAATAAAATGTTAGATGAAAGTATAGCACAACCAGAGACAGCGACTAATGAAATCACCCAGTATCTTGATAGTGGTACGTTTTTCGAATCCTTTACGATATCATACTAACTGGTTAATAGATACTATTCATCTTAGGCCTCTTGCCTTCTGGAGAGAGCACCAAACTCGCTTTCCAGCAATTGCTGCCCTTGCACGGGATACACTTTCCTTCCCGGCAACAGGTGCAGGTGTTGAACGACTCTTTAATACTGCTCGGGATATCTGTCATTATCGTCGAGGGAGACAAAAGAAGCAGACAATTGAAGAGCTAATGATGTTTCTTTGTACTTCAAGGTTTGATATTGAAGAGAAGGAGGCGAAGTATCTAGAGAAATTCTTCTCTCATATCGAGATAGAAACAGCGAAGGAAGAGAAAGATGATAAGCTTGAGGAGGTGGAATTTGACTTGATTAGTGATACTGAGGAGGCAGACGAGGAGACAAGTGATCATGTACAGCTAGATGAGGTAGATGAGCCCCAGCTTCCGGCACCTGAGAATAGTACCCAGGTACGGGCATCAGGACGGAAACGTAAGGCTCGAGAGGATGAGGTCTTTGAGTATTACTCAAAATGATTGTACATAATTTTCTCATCGGGGGGCAGCCCCCCGATGAATTTCCAATAGAATACACTATTTCTATCCTGGCATACTTTTCTTGTTGTAAAGGGAATACGCACTATTACAGGCAAAAACCGCATGATTAATGCAAAGAAAAAAAGTCACGGGTCTTGGCATGTCTGTTATGTTTGTGGCCCAAGTTGGGGGCCCGGACCCAGGCTGGGCTGGAGCTCTGGGCCCAGAGCCCAGCGCTGGGTTGGAGTCCTGGGCCCAGAACCCAACCCAGCCTGGGTTGGGCCCGGGTTGAGTTGGGCTTTGCGGAAGTCTATGTAAGAGTAGGTAATTACTAGACCTCATACCCGCCCGCGGGCGGCCCTCAGAGGGCGGCCTACGGACCCGCCCGCGGGCGGGCGGAGGGCCGGTCCAGCCTGCCCGCGGGTCGGGCTGGTCTTTTACTAGCCCTCATGAGGGCCGCCCGCGGGCTTTTCGAGGGCCGACAAACAGGACAAACAGTACACATACTTTTGAAGACCCATACTCGCATAAATTATGCAGTTTTTCAGCTGTATCTTTAGGTATTTACTTTACACTACTCTTACTGATTTTGACTAGGGTAGTAGTATTTTCTTATGGATTGATAAAAAAGATGAGATAAGTGAGATAAGTGATTTATGAATGGTATTTGCAGCTACTAGATATATGTCTAGTTCGAAGTTTTCCGGCGCTTCCAACCCTCAGTTTCATATCCATTAAGAAGTGTTGAGCGCTGCCGAACCCTCCCTGAATAACGCTGTGTACTAGGTAAGCTAGGCTCACTACTTGTTTTATCCTCTATTAGAGTCCGCTGGCTCTGTTCAACTTCAACAAGGGGCTGGGCTAGGCTAAAAACTTGGGTTCTTGGCGAAGATGCATCACTATCACCATCACTATCATGACCACAATCATCATCTTCCTCATTATCACTGATGGGCTCACACAGTTTCAAGCACGCGAAGTTGACTAGTCGCGTTATGATTATTCTAAGAGAAGTAATCATAGTGATCATGGTAATCATATTATGATCTATCATATTATGACCCACTTTTTCTACTACTACCTTCCTCTATTGGTCAGAATTTGAACGCTAGTTAAGGGCCGCCCTCGAAAAGCCCTCGAAATATGCGGGCGGCCCTCAGTTCAATAATCCGCCCTCAAAAAATGGGTAGTCGTGATGCCCCCCCCCCAAAAATCTTCCACAAACTCTTCTACCAAATCATAATTTCTAACACTTTACTATTATACCATATATAATTTAATAGTAATTACTAGCAATATATCAAGTAGTTATCGTAATTTCACCTTTTGATTCAATTTTTAATCATAAATACTAGCATTCGAGATTTAAAGAGAGTATTACTAAGTTCCTATGGAGGATACACTATATACCCTAAGTGCAAATATATATTTCTACAACTTCAACTTGTAGACTTCGCAACATTCAAAATTACCAACCCTATCTTCATAATAGTAGGCTAAAAGTGAATAATATCTATATTACCTATCATTATATACTATAATACTACTTGATTTCTTAAAATTTCTCAATAATAATAAGGTAATAAAGTAGAAATGAAAGATGGAAACCAGAACAGTGTTAAAAAACAGTAATCTATTAGGATGACTGAGCAATATTATGCGTCTAAATTAGGAAAGGTCAACTTTTTTTATGTAAATGCGGGCGGATGAGGGCCGCTCGAGGGCGGCCCTCTGAGGGCTGAGGGTCCGCCGAGGGCCGGTAGTACCGGCCCTCCAACTGGTGCGGGTCGGGCTGAGGGCCGGGGGTACCGGCCCTCAAAACGTTTTTAATGAGGTCTAGTAATTACTGCAGATGGAGGCTTTCTCCTACTAGGCTTTTGGGGGTTAAGGCGCCTACCCCCTACTTCTGGCAGTAAATCAGGCTATATTTTAATAGAGAGAACTTGGATATGTACCGTTTCGCCTATATCTCAGTAATAGCGTATAGTTCGGAGAGAAGTTGATAATTATAAGTAGGGACAGCGCCCTATATAAGGATATAGATATTGTCGATATATCCTATCACTAGTACCTGGTCTAGCACAGCCACGTGGATATCGTCGATGAGGTCTAAGTTGTAGAAAAGATACAGAATTGGCGATAGCGGAGAACCTTATGGGATCCCGGTAGCAACCAGTTCGTTTGCGTAGCGCCCTTCTTATAAAAGGAGTATAGTGCTTCGATTTATGAGAAAGCTGGGCAGCTAATTTATAATAACCTCCAGGATGCATCGCTTTCGCAGGTAGTGGATCAGTCGTACGTGCGAGACGTTATCAAAGGCCCCGCTGCCGTCTAATGTGAGAAGCGTAGCGACCCTAATCCTAATCAATTCTTCTAGATAATTTTTAGGCTTCTACAAAACCCAATAGACCCCAAACCCAACCCCACCCAACCGCACTTTGGGTTGGGTTTTGGGTCCAACCTTCGACCCCAGCCTGGGTTTTGGGTCTAGCCCTCGGACCCAACCCAATATATGGGGCCCCAATGGGGCCCCAAAAGGTCAAAACATTATAAACATGCCAAGTCTGGGCATGTACATAATTTATGCGTTTTAAAGCTGTAAAATTGCGTATTTCCCTTACAACTTTCGACAGTAACCATACTAATCACGGTAAAAAGATCATATTCATTCGCTTGAAAACTTAATAAAACTAGTAGTGCTCAAATCCATCATCCCTATCCCTATCCCTATCCCTATCCCTATCCCTATCCCTATCCCTATCCCTATCCCTATCCCTATCCCTATCCCTATCCCTATCCCTATCCCTATCCTCCCTCTCTTCCTCTTCCTCTTCCTCTTCAGAGTCTTCAGAGTCTTCACCCTCTACTGCTTGCTCCTCAGTATCACTAATAGGATCTATCTCAACTTCATCTAGTCTCTCATCATTTTCTTCCCTTGCAGCTTCAATTTCATCTAATGAGAAGTATTTCTCTACTTCCTTCCTTTGTTGCTCTTCAAGGTCAAACCTTGAAGTGCAAAGAAACATCATCAGCTCTTCAATCGTTTCTGACTTCATACGACCACGGCGATAGTGGCAGATATCCCGGGCAGTATTAAAAAGTCGCTCTACACCGGCACCAGTTGCCGGAATAGATAGAACATCCTGTGCAAGTGCAGCGATTTTTGGGAAACGCCCTTGATTCTTTCTCCAGAATGGAAGAGGCTCAGCATCAATAGGATCTAAGATGATTAGTAAATAGAAGAGAATAGAATAGATTAGGATATTTCAACGAACCGCCATCAAGGTATTGTGTTACTTCGTCTCTAACTGGCTTTATCTGCGATTTATTACCACTCAGCATCTTATTAAGCCTTGAACTCGGCTTTGGTGTAGAATAAGAGCTAGCTATGCCTGAAACAGTAGAGAGCTGGCGTTGGTAAGGAACAAGAGCTGCTTGGAATGCATTTCTGTATTTTTCCTGCCACTCCTTATCCCAATCATCTGATTTGAAAAATTGGAACCGGTTATCAGGGGCTAGCATGGTACCAATTGCATAGATAGATCCCCGAATATTATCCGTCTGTGAGTAGTACTCATCAAGCTTTAATCGGCCAGCTTGGAGAGACTTAAGCATATGCTTTTTCCATGGAACACGCTTCCGCTGAAGCTGCCGTATTGAATTTTCAAGATGGTCGAATAGCGCGTTATAGACTTTGAAAACCAGGTGTGTTGTGATATCTCGGGTCTTTGAAAGTTCAGTAGTATACTCAAAGAATGGCTGAGTAATAGTGATAAGGTAGTCAATTTGACGCCACTCCTCATCATCTAGTAGCATTTCTTCACAGCTATACTCAGCACAGAAGGGTGGAAAGATAGCACGAAGTCGCTTTGCCCGACGAAGCATCAAAAATGTTGAATTCCATCGAGTCTTGACATCTTGTATTGGGATGACCTTTGGCTCTTTAGTCTGAAGGCTGTTGAATGTATCACGGCGTTGAGGGCTTGCATGGATATATATCGCAAGGTAGCGGACCTTATTTAAGGTCGACGCAATACCACGCTTCTCACGCTTCGCATTAGCCTGGGCTAATTTTGATTGCTTATCTGTCCACTTTGTCTGAGGAGTATCATTCAAAGGGACTGCCCTTAAACGATCGAGAAGCTGGTTAAGACTGAGCTGGATCACATGAGCAAGGCAGGGTGTTCGGATAATGTTGATATTCTCTGGTAAAGCTTGCTGAAGAGCATTAACCATGGTCTTATTATTTGATGCGTTATCGGTTGTTAATCCGAATATCCGGTCTGTGATACCATATTCCAGTAATGTTTCAAGAAGAACAGTACTGAGATTTATACCAGAGTGTGAACCAGAAAGTGGTTTGAAACCAAGAAGCACCTCTCGAAAGATCCATTCTGCATCAATGAAATAGCCAGTTATAGCCATAAATGCCTGTCCAAACGGAGAAGTCCAACAATCAAGTGCAATTGAAATCTTTGTATTTGGTGGTAGGAGTCGAAGGATTGTCTTTTGGCGATCTGTAACCCTATCCTTTAGTCGCCGGCGGACTATATTGGCGGATGGGATTCGTGGAGGTACGGGTGCAGAGCGAGCCTTATGGATAAGGCTAGCGAAGGTTGGGTGCTCGACAAGACTGAAAGGGAGACGGTTAAGGGTGAGAAATTGTAGGATCTCATCATACCAGTCTGATTCTAAGAATGGGATGGTCGTTGGTATTTGTTGCTAGTTAATTAAAGTGTTAGTTTGATCTTTTGTGCACAAAAACTTATCTCTTAAGAACTTACTCCTTTCTTGAGAAACCCTGTGATCTCAGTATCCCGTCTTCCTGCTGCGGCCCTTTGACAATCTGTAGTTTTTAAGTGTTTCGCCATAGTCGATGTGCCCTGGTAGCCCTTATCGCTGCCTGGTCGAACAGAATAAGGGTGTTTTAAGACCCTCCCACAGCGCTTGCACATAACACTTGGTGCCCCATCTGTAATTTGAGCAACTTGGTGGAAGCT